GTAGAAACCGATGGGGAAGGTACTGGCGGAGTTATGACAACTTTCACTCAGTGGAAGTTGCAAGACTGTGCTGTTCCTAAAAGAAATGCCGCTTTCACAACATGTAAGTCAAAAGCAGTGTGAAGAAAGCCTCTCCTCTTCCCTACAGGCCGGCGTCTCGGCTGTGGAGAAAGATTTGGAATAGGTCCACCAGTGAGGAGAGACTATCTTCCTCCCAGGCTGTACAAACCAGTGTCTGAGGTGGCGTTGTTTTCTTCTAGTTGTTTGTCTGAGTGCTTTTGACCAATAATCTTGTGTGAAACACCGTCTGCCCCTGTTAAGTTCACTATAAAAGTTAGGCTATTCGGGCAATAAAATGGAGCGGCATGATCTGACTCAACCGGTGTCTGCCGTGCTTTCGGCCGTGCTTCCTAACAAATGGCGCCCGAACAGGCTGAGACCTGAACAGGACATCGCAGCGGCGCCGGGACAGACATCGCAGCGGAGCGGGAGACCGGAGGCCCTGGGAGCCCAGGGAGAGCAGTGGCGCCGGGACATCAGAGCGGCGCCGAGCCCGGAGCGGCGCCGGGAGACCCGAGGCACACGGAGGGACTCCTGCCGGACGGAGAGAGCCCTGAGAGACGCTGCAGAGCCACGGACGGCTCTGAGAGACACAGACCTGACAGAAGCCGGAACACCTGAGAAGCATTGAGAAACTCCAAGCACCGACCCGGACAAAGGACTCACGGTGAGACACGGGGAAAAGAAACCGTGGGGAGCGTGGGAAGAGATCCGCGGGGAAACGCGGGAAACGGAACCGCGCAGGGACGTGGGAACGAGGTCTTGCAAAGGCTGCAACAGCATAAATAAAGGTATGGAGAGACAAGCGGCGTATGATTTGCTCAAATGCTTTTTAGAAAAGCGGAGCACGCAGGGTATAGGCTGCAAAAAGGATTTACCAGGATTATTAGCATATGGAGTAACAAAGGGTTGTTTTATCAATCCGGATACAGTTCTTGAACAAACAGAGTGGCGTAAATTTGGGGACAAATTGTTTGATGAAGTTATTAATGAAAGTGAGGCTGCTAAAAAATTATTGAAGCCTTGGAGAGCAGTCACTAACGCCTTAGCTATACATCAGGCTGAGCAGAGAGTCGCTGCTGCTGCTACAGAGCGACTGGGATTGCCAGGAAGTGCTGGTAGTGTTAACCCTCAACAGGGAGGGATGGGGGGAGCTGGGGATTACCCATTGCCGCCTTCAGTGAGGACGATAACGCTGCCTCAGGGGGCTATGGGGCAATGGGAGCCTCCTCCTCTCTCATCATCCTTCTCAGAGTCGGTGTTGGTGCTCCCGCCATCACCAGCAGCACCACCGGCTCCTTCTCACAAAAGTGGGGAAATGGATGAGGAAATAAGAGAGCAAAAACCAGACAGAAAAAACACAAGCCCGTTTATAGAAGGTGTTCAGGAGAGGCAGAGGGTGTGGAAGCAAATAGCAGATGAGGCTGTATGCGAGGGTGAACACGGGATAGCTGCACAATTGGTTCAAGAGGCCTTCCCGGTAGTATATTCACCACCGGACGCCCAGGGTAATGTTACGGTTAATCTCAGTGAATTTGGACTGTAAATTGTTAACTCAGCTGCGGTCCACAGTAAATGAGTCAGGTCTGAAAGGTGAACCTACGAGACAGATGTTGGACTATATTTGGGGAACGAATATTTTGCTTCCAGGAGACATATGTAGCATAATGAAGTTAATTTTGACCCAACACCAGCAGCTCTTATTTAATGCCCATTGGCAGGCTGCTTGTCAAGAAGCAGTCACAGTGAGAAGAGCACCTGGGGACCCTTTACATGGGGTCACGCTGGAAGAGTTGATGGGGGTAGGACCGTATTTTAGGACAGAAGCACAGGCATTGCTGGGACCTGATAAAGCGAAGGAATCGATGAGAATGGCCAGAAAAGCATTGGATCGGATAAAGGGGCCAAGGGGAATACATGGGAATCAAACAGGGTAGAGAGGAACCATTTGGGCTTTTTATTGACCGCATAGCAAACGCCATACAGGCGGCTGGGGTGCCTGATTACCTCCAGGGCACGATATTAAAACAGTGCGCAATTCAGAATAGCAACCCTTCTACTCGCAATATATTGGCTTCCTTACCCGGGACATGGACAATCGAGGAAGGGTTGGAAAGAATGGCTCAGGTACCAGTAGGCCCACAGGCTATGTTAGTAGAGGCAGTAAAGCAATTAGGTGACAGCATGCGAGAGCAGGCACAGGCTATGAAAGAGCATGCTGAGTTTACACAGAGTCAAGTCCTTGCAGCTCTTGCTCCTTTGCAAACCGCCGGGTCACGCTCTGGTGGTCAAGCACCACCCCCTAGTGGGCAAATACCACACCACTTGCGATGTTATCGTTGTGGTGTTTTTGGACACGTGAGACGAAACTGCAAAGCTGGGGCAGTATGGTGCTCAGATTGTCAGTCGGGCAATCACAGTGAAGCGGCATGTCGACGCAACGTGTCGGGAAACGGCCTGGAACAGCGGGAAGAGTCGCCCCGCGACGACACAAAACGCGGCCGCATACACAGCAACACCGAGGGGGAACCCGTTCCTCTCCGACCAGCCACGAGAGGGAGCCGATGTATCTATAATCAGCACACACAACTGGCCGCAGCATTGGCCAACATCTGAAACCAATGCCACGGTGGCCGGGGTCGGAGGAATGACACTTGCCGTCAGTCACCACCCCTGCGGTGGACAATAGGGGACAAAGTGGTGAAATGTTGTGTCTCTGTTAGTCCGTTGCCTGACGGGGTGCACGCACTAATAGGGCGGGACATCCTTGCTCAAATGGGAATGGTCCTTACCTGGGAACGCCCTTTATAGATATGGCCATTGTTTGGACTTTCCCGATCCCGCTCCGGTGGAAGAATGATGATCCTGTGTGGGTCGAGCAATGGCCGTTAAAACGGGAAAGTCTGATACAAGCGCACGAGCTGGTTAAAGAACAGTTTCAACAGGGGCACTTAAGGTTGTCAACGAGCCCGTGGAATACACCTATCTTTGTGATTAAAAAGAAGTCGGGAAAGTATCGGCTGCTCCACGATCTGCGCGCGGTAAATAAGCAGATGTACGATATGGGAGCAGTGCAGCCAGGGTTGCCTAATCCTGCGATGATACCTGAAGGATGGCATTTACTCATAGTGGACTTAAAGGACTGTTTCTTCACAATTGCTCTCCATGAAAATGATAAGCAAAGATTCGCTTTTACACTTCCTGCAATAAACTAAGAAGGGCCGGACCAGAGATTTGAGTGGACGGTCCTGCCGCAGGGAATGCGAAATTCGCCAACTCTATGTCAACTCTATGTCGACGATGCTCTACAGCCGTTGCGACGAAAATGGTCAGGAACAATAATCTATCATTATATGGATGATATTCTATTGGCCCAGTCAACACCATTTTCTTCACAGCAAAAGGATGAACTAACGAAGCAACTTAAACAGAGAGGATTAGTAGTTGCCCCCGAGAAGGTACAGGAGACAAGCCCATGGAAATATCTTGGATGGCATATCTCCGATGCTACGATCCAACCGCAGAAATTGACAATACAATCAGACCTTAAGACTCTTAACGACGCCCAGAAGTTGATGGGTGATTTGCAATGGATTCGACCAGTGGTTGGTATTCCCAACGAGCTGTTAAATCAACTACGACCTTTGCTACGAGGGACAGATCCAGCAGCACCAATTCAGCTTACAGACCAACAAAAACAAGCACTACAGCTAATAGCCTCAATGATTACAACACGGGCTACGCATCGGCGTATAGAGGGTGCGCCTCTTGATCTAACTATTCTGTGTGGCCCCCAATATTTGATGGGTGCGATAACACAGCAAAAAATAAAAACGGGGGAGAAGCAGGGAGATACGGTGGTACTAGAATGGCTAGCTCCTCCGTTGCGGCCACGACGAACAATTCAAGAAAAAATCACCACATGAGCAGAATTAATTAAAAAGGGACGAAGTAGAACCTTGCAAGTAGACGGGGCCCCTCCTAACACCATATGGTTACCCATGAAGTCAAGTGATCTGGAATGGTATATACAAAATTCTTGAGGAACTGCAAACTGCTCTATTGCATGATGGAGCCATGTTAATAGCAAAACCATTACAATCTCCTGTCTTGTCCTGGATGAAAAACCAGGGCTGGATAAGTAGACCAAAGCGATCACCCCAACCAGTTGCAGACTGCAATAACAGTCTTTACAGATGCCGGTAAGTGCTCCAGAACTGCTGCAGTGACATGGAAGGATGAGCATGGCTGGCAACATCAGATTTTGCAAGCTCAGAAAGAGGATTCATTACAGACACTAGAACTGTTCGCAGTAGTATGGGCGTTTGTAAAATGGAAGGATGTTCCGTTGAGTGTTGTATCTGACTCTCTTTGTGTAGTAGGCATAGGCAATCGCATTGAGGACTCAAGTTTGGGAGAAGTGCAGAATGGACGACTGGTTCAACTATTGACAAGTTTGCAGCTTGCAATCGCACAGAGAAGTAAGCCGTATGCAGTGATTCATATTCGCAGTCATCAGTGGGAACAAGGGCTCGGAGAAGGCAATGCCCGAGCCGACCCGATTAGTTGCTGCTGCAGTCACTGAAGCTCCACTATCACCATTTTGCCGAGCTCGAGAAGCTCATTCCATATTTCACCAGAACACGAAGGGACTAGCTCGAGCCTACAATTTGTCTAATGCTGACGCTCAAGCAATCGTGAAGGCTTGTCCCATATGTAGTTATCATAATTTAGGAATGGGACCCGGGTGTGGAGTTAACCCAAGAGGGTTGAAAGCTAATGAAGTGTGGCAAATGGATGTCACTCCTGTTACAGCCTTGGGACAGTTAAAATACTTGCATGTAACGATAGATACCTCTAGCCACATGATATGGGCTACTGCACAACCCAGGGAAAAGGCTCGGGATGTGCGGCATCACCTCACTAGTTGTTTTGCTGTGTTAGGGGTACCTAGCACTATCAAGACTGACAATGGTCCAGCTTATAATAGTGGGCCACTGAAACGATTTATGCAATTATGGAATATCAATCATGTTACTGGCATCCCACACTCCTCCACAGGACAGGCAATAGTGGAAAGGGCAGATAGGAACAATGAAAGGATACTTAGAAAAGTTCAGAGACATTGAAGACGTAAAAGAAAGAATAGGAAAGGCTCTCTTTGTACTTAACCATTTATGTGTGTTTGGGGACAGCACTGAGCCCCCTATAGTACGTCACCATGCCGGGGCAGAAACTTCTAAGCCACCATGCATGAAGGTGTTATACAGAGACATGAAAACAGGGCAATGGCTAGGCCCTGCTGAAGTGATCTACCTGGGGCGCGGTTACGCTTGTGTTTCTTCCCCTACAGGTGCAATCTGGGTGCCTAGCCGATGCGTAAAACCAGCCGTTGAAGACACAGCATGCGCATCAGTCTCCTCTGGGGGTCTCTAGGGGAGCCTTCATGCTGAAGGCTCGTAGTCTTCCTCTCACCTTTGTACTCACTCAGCACAATTCCAAGTTTATAGAACATTTTCTGCAGGTCTTGTCTCCCAGCCGTCCTTCAGCTTCTTTTTCCTTCCTCTTAATCCCTTGGCCTCCTAGCCAGATACCAAAGATCCGCATAGTATCCCATAACAGTCACTAGTTTTTATCAGTTGTTCTGAAACTCCCAGACATCAAACACAAACAGCTTTCTTATTTGACGCTTCACGAGTAATTAAAACATTCTTCCCCAGCCATTCACGGACACATCTATAGCAGTGTTAAGTTAATCTCGAAGAAGACAGGAAAAAAGGCTGTAACTGTTAGAAATAGAAGTCTGGAATAACAAAAGCAAACAGGTTCATAAATTTAAGGAGTGTTTTCTGAAGACGTGATAAATTGACTAGAAGGAGGGGGAGACTGGGACACACTGCATCTGTGGTTCAAGAATTAAATTGCCAGTGCAGGGCCCAGAGGCAGACAGGATTCAAACAGAATTGTTCTTTATGGACACGAATTGTTGAAACATTCCTCACACACTGTTGCACTCATCCCAAGCTCCAGCGAGGGAGGGAGAGGCAAAGAAGTGCAGAGGCAACGCTCTGTAGCCACCAAGTCTGTGGCAAAAGCTGGCCAGAAAAGCAACGGTGTGGTAAGGTGCCCTGTTGTGTTGTGGGGGGACTGATCTGAGCACTCGAACCTCCCCAGGGAGGCAGCACCGCCTGAGTGCAATGCTTGGTGCACCCTGACAGGCTGGGAATTACACTGGCAGAGCCTCCACGGCAGGAAAGCACAGCTGCCCGTGGCCAGAGCTGGGCCACAAAGCAGGACAGGAAACACACAAGCATGCTTGGCTAGGCCATTCAAGCCCCCCTTGCCCTGCCCCTCCTGCTCCTGACCTGCACACGTTGCCCTCTTGCCGCTGATCCTCAGCGTGCCCTCTCCAGGGGCTGAGGGGAGCAAACAGCATCTCTTCCCCCAATGCCTTGCTGAGCTGCAGCAGGAGCCCAGGGAGGAGGGAGGGAAGCAAGCTCTGGACCCCCTCCTTGGACTGCATGGACACCATTTCAGAGATGGCACGGGTGACCTGCAGGGAAATGAGACCCCCCGACAAGCACCCGTTAAACAAGAGCTTTGCCACCAGCCCCGGCCCGCTGGCTGCCTGGGGCACTTCTACTGCCTGCACGCCCCATCTCCATCTCCAGGACAGCCTTGCAGCCTGGGAGCAGCGGCTGTCCCGGCCGTCCCGAACTGCTACTGCCAGGACACTGCTGCAGTGTCCTGCTGCAGTGTCCTGCTGCAGTGTCCTGGCAGCGTCCAGAGACGCTTGCAAAGGGCACCCAACGCCTTGCCCTTGGCCTGGGAGTGGGGGAGCAGGCACAAAGCCTCTGAACGTACAGTCAAGGACTCCGCAGAAGGCTGGTGGGCGTGCAGCCTGCCACTGGGCGAGCTGGGCTGGGAGCTGTCGTCTCCCACTCTCCTCAGCTTCCTCGCTAAGCGCTTCAGCACACTGATGCCAATGCTGTCTCTCCCCAGAGTCCTCCACAGCTCCAGTGTGTTTCTGCCAAGAGATGTGCAACCATGAGCCCGTATGCTCTGTTCCCAGTGGTACCAGCACACCTCCGACATTTGGGTGGAGGACAAGGAGCTGCTGCTTCCCTTGGATCGCCCTAGGGGAGGGGAGGCAAGCTACGGCTCTCTGAGCCCAGCAGGAAAGGGAGGAGCGCATGTACCTGTCCATAGGCACAAACTGCTCGAGGATGACGTTCATCGTGAGCCTCTCGTGATGGCGGGCCAGGATCAGCACCACATGGTGCACGAAGTACATGAACGAGGGCTTCCGCATGGACTCTGTGCAGGTGTGCAGGGTGGAGAGGATTCCTCGCACCTGAAAGAAGCAGGGGAGAAAGAACGTCTTGGCACGGGAACATGGACGTTCAGCCCATGAGCCACGCCTGCTCCCCTGCCACGCTTTCACGCTCGAAGGCGAAATTTCACCCCTAGCACCCTGCCCGAGCCCTGACTCTGCCCCGAGAGCTTCTTTAGCACACAACCGGCAAGATGTGTGGTGCGACAGCCAAAGCAAGAAAGTCCAAGGCATGGAAAAAGGTCTCTTACATCTGGACCAATGTCCTTTCCCCATGTTTCCAGAAAGGTGAGCATCCAGTTGCCTGCAGCACGCACGCGGCTTCCTCTGGCACGCCGGAAGGGCTCCTGGATGGCATTCATGAAGTCTGCAGCCTGTTCTTTGGGGACGTTTTTGCAAACCATCTGGAAAGATGCAAGAACCAGGAGAGATCGAGATCCCGTCACGGCTCTGCTCCAGCTCTTCAGAACATCAGGCAAGCTTGAGGGCACTCCTTACCTCTGCGATGTGGATGGAGGTCTGGAGCTGCTGAGAGGTGTCGCTGCGAGCACTCAGCCCCTCACACAAGCTCGCAGGGTCGTCTGTCTGCAACAGCCTGTTCATGGCCTTGGCTGGAACGAGCACGGGGAGAAAAAGGGGAGTCCCACTTAGGGCGACTGAACTTCCCTTCCCAGCCTTTGCTGAAGGCCAGGGAGAGGGACGGAGATGCAGGATCACAGCTGCTGCCAGCACACAGCTTGTGCTGGGAAGGGACAGCAAGTTACCTGCAGCTGCAGCAGTGCCTGCTCTGCATTCCTGATCTTCCCAAGCTGCTCAGCCGACAGGAGGAACGTCATCTCGCCTCACAGCCCCCGCAGCTCCTCGCTCTTACCTCCACTGCTCCAGGGCCAGAATCACCTTCAGGTGCAGGGACGCTGCCGGGAAGTCCCAGAGAGTCGTCTTCACCAAGTTCTGCAAGAGAAAGTTGCCAAGTGGGCACTGGGCACAGGAGAGCTCTCGCACCCTGCCCGGGGACGGGCACTCCTGCCAGACACTGGCTGCAGCGCTCAGGAGCTCCCACAGGGCTGAGGGAGACCTTCCTGCTCCCTGGCATGGCCCCAAACTCCCCTGCAAGACAGCCCTGGCTCTGGGCACTCACCTGCAGGATCAGCAGCAGCTTGTGCTTCAGGACAGGATGGAAGCTGCCCAAGTTCCCCACAGCTTGGATGGCACAGCCGACCTCAAGGATGCTCTGCGCCACAGCAAGATTGGTCTGCAAGTTCTGGGGCCCAAGAGAGAAGAAGAAAACCCTTGGAACTGGAGGAAGGGCCACGGGCTGCGAGAGGAACATGTGCACGCGGGTGAAATCTAGGGGAAGGGCTTGGATCTTCCTGCTGGGACAAACCATTCCTCGGGGGACCTTTGCAAAGAGATGGCCCGGCTCAGGATGCCCTAGCACGGAGGGCTTGGAGCTGGGATTGCACCCAGCAGCCCTGCCCCTGCACGCCCTGAGCTCTCACCTGGCTGCTGGAGATGGAGAGCAGCAGGATGTTGCCCGCGATGTCTGCCTCCACGTGGGCGAGCAGTTGTTCCTTGCAGGCACGCAGTGCCATGCTGCTGTGGGCGAGCATGACAGCACAGCAAGTGGCCTCAGCTCTCCTGCTGGCCTGGGGCGTCTGCATTGCAAGAGATGCTGTGAGACGTCCGCCCCATGGCCCCCCACAGCCCACGATGAAAAGCAGGTGGAAGACAGCCAGGGAGGGAAACCCCAAACACCTCACCTTCCTGCGTCTGCAAACCCTCAAGCCCCGGCCACTGCACGAGGTGGCAGCAAATATTGTCAGTGTCTCCAAGACCAGGCCGAAGTGGCTGTCGGCGGCTTGGCAGACGAGAGAAATGATTCCCTGCAACAAGAGACCGAGGGACAGTTGGCACGGGCCCAGCCGTTCAGTCATGGCCAGCCACAGTGGTGGGCAGCGATGAGGAGCCTGGAGCAGGGCCGGGAGAAGCCCCTTCCCCCAGGGACAGAGCAGGGAAGCTCACCTGGGCTTCAGATGGCTCCTCAGGTTGTGCTCTCGTCAGGTGCTGCAGCAGGTTCTCTTGGACGTGTGGGAGTTCCTGACAAGCTCCCAGCGTCGTCCCAAGAGCCTTGTACAGGAAAGCCTGCAAGGGAACAAGCCGAGCCCGAGATGCAGCAACAGCCTGGCGTGCTGCAACAGGGCCAGCGCACGGGGAGCAGCCGAGCCCGGACGCAGGGATGGGCTTTCGCCAGCCCCGCTCAGCACGGAGGGAAAGGCCGTGGGGGGCAAGGGCCAGGGAAGCAGCGCAGACAGCCCTCATGGGCAGAGCACCGCCTGCAGCCCCAGCCCCGCACATGGGCGGGGGCCCTGTGGCTGCGCTGCCGCTGCCAGGGGAGAGCCGGGCAGGGAACCGACCTTCTCCCCAGAGCTGCTGGGAGAGCTGTCCAGCCGCTGGCTCAGCACACAGCTCAGGCGCTTGATCCAGGCGTCGTCCCCGATGGTTTCCAGGGATGCCCTCAGGAACTGCAGGAGAGAACAGGAGAGGAAGCGAGTGGTTCTTGGCCTTTGACAAGCAGGAAGAGGCAGTGCCAAGGCACACGGCCACGCCACAGTGGCCTTCCACGAGAGCTGTGGCCCGTGGGAGAAAGGAGAGACTCCTCTAGGAGGAGGAGTGGGGTGCCTGGGAAACACCCCTACCACCTCTATATGCTATGCCTCCCAGGGCTGCAGTACCTGAAGCAGACGGCGCTCCCACTCGGCAGCATCTGGGCTGTTCCCCTTTCCTCCTAGAGAGAAGACAAAAACCTTGCTTGGGACCAAGCCACAGAAGAAGAGCTGCTGCAAAGCTGGCCTGGCCCAGGAAAGCTGGTGGCTGCACCCGCTCCAGAGGCAGCCGTCCGTCCCTCCCCACAAGCACCGCCCCAGCAGGGCCATGGAGGTGCCACCAGGACCAGCACGCTGTCCAAGGGGACGGGAAGGGCCCCATCCATGCGCCGCGATGAATGGATCGCTGTGGGACCGCTCCCCCCAGCTTCAGTGCTGGCTCCCGGGCAGGGAAACGAAACGGCAGCGGAACAAGCTCTGGGCACCAGGCGGGGATTCCCCTTAGCCATGCTGGGAAGCTGACTTGCCATGCCCTCCCTCCCCTGCCCCCTCCCCAGCAGCACTTTACCTTGGAGGTACTGCAGCAGCAGGGGAATCTCGCTGTTCCACGTGGCCCCCACAGCTCCATGGATCCTGCTGTGGAGGCTCTGCAGCACCAGCAAGGCAGCAGCTTGGAGGTCACTGCCCGCAAAAGGAGACCCCGCCACCACCAGCAGGCGAGCCAGCAAGTTGTGCTGAGTCAGCGTCGTCTCTGTGGGGAGAAAGAAATGCTAGGGTGAGATGCCGAGCCACACCGTGCCCTGCCACGCTGCCGTCCCTGCAGGACGCAGACCCCGAGGTCAGCAGAGCTCCCTGGGGGAGTCGCTACTCCTACCTCGCAACAGGGCGTTGAGGACATCGGGATCCAGTTCGTGATGCTCGTGCTCTGCTGTCAGCTCATTGCTCTCAGCCAGGGTGCGCAGACAGAGCGAGAGGGGGATCAGCATGCCCGTGTACTTGGCTGGCATCACATAGATCAGCAGCCTCGGCCACAGGAGCTGTAGGCAATGAGACAATTCAGCCCGTCAGCATTTCTGCCTCAGCTTAGAGATGGGGAGGATGGTGTGCATCTCCCTGAGCACTTCCGAGCATGCTGGGGGGGAGCTTTCAAGAGTGCAAAGGGGGCCTAGGAACAAATGGCCTGAAGAGAGGAGAGGAGCAGCAGCAGCAACAGGACAGAGGAGGACTTACTTTGGCCATCCCTCTCACAGAGATGTCCAGGGACCCCAGGACATCCATGCACAGCCCTTAGAGAGCTCCTTCTTCTGGGCTTCCTGGGCAGACAGGAGTCCCAGCAGCCTGCAAGACAACATTGGGAACCCCCTGCCCCTCTTGCTCTCAGTTCCTGCCCCAGAAGGCTCAGGCGTGGCCCCAGCAGGCTCCCATGCCAGCCTCCTGGCAGCAGATCTCCCCAGGGAAGATGTTGCACGCTGTCCTTACCCTTCTGCTTCGAGCTCTGGCTGAACTCGCTGAAGATGTAGCCCACAACGTCCCACGCTGAGCAGCTCTGGGCATTGGCACTGAGCAGCTCCCTGATGAAGTGCAGAACTGCCCTCCTCACCTGCCAGGGGGCAAGTGTGCTTAGCACAGGGCCACAGGGACCTGCCCATGCTGGCAGTGGCATCACCTCTGGCCGTCAGCCCTCCCTCCGGTAAACACGAAGGAGCGGGGAAATGGCTGGCTAGGTCCGAGCCCTTCTAGTCCAGCCTTGCCAGGCTCTGCCTCTGCCCTGAGGGAAAAGGTTTCTCTCCCACCCCGACGGCACAGTCCCTTCCCAAAGCAGCTCACCCGGATGCTGGGGTCCCTGCACACATGCTTGACAGCCTCCACCACCTGGGGCAGCTTCTCTGCCATCGCGGGCTCTGCAAGAGAGCCAGTGAGGCATGCGTGGAGGCACAGCCCAGAGGGCGGAAGAGAGCCCTCCAAGCCCTGACCCCGCAGGACTGACCGTCACAGCGTGCCAGAGCACCGAGCAGACCCAGGGCTGCCACGCGCACGGCCTCCCTCTCGTGGCCCAGCTGGGACTCCAGGAACAGGATCGTCTCCTCTGGGCAGATGCAAGCTGTGGGGAGGAAATCCCATCCTGCGTTACCAAGCAGCTTTGGGAGAGAGCTGCTGGGACACCACGGGGCAGCGCCACAGCTCCTCTCCTTACCTTGCAGCAGGATGCACTGGCTCAGCTCTGCCTTCTGCTCGTTTCTCTAAGGGGATCTCCCTGGCTCCTCCCTGCATGCCACAGCTCCCTGAGCCCTCGTGCCACTTGCACAGACCCCATGGCCGTGCCAGGCCCTGCGCCACACGTCACCTTGGTCACCCTGGAGGCGTCTTGGACCGTCCGGTCCTGGTGCAGGAGCCAGAGGAGCTGCTCCCAGTGCTCCTCCTTGTGCAGGAGGACACGCATCAAGGGAGTCATGGCCCCGATGACAGCTTGCTTGTCCTGGAGAGGAAGCGGGGAGGCCCAGCGTCAAAGGCTGAAGAGGTTTTCCCCACCCCTCACCCCCCACCCTGCCTGCCCAAATGCCCTGGGCTTCAGCTGCTTCCCCGCAGGGAGCCCCCAGCCCCAGGCACAGAGCCAGGCTGGGGCCTTCTGCAGCCAGCCTGCTGGGCACAGACAGAGGCACAGGCACAGGGGACATCCCTGCTGCCGTCCCCAGCTGGGAAAGCAGCACTTCTCACCTCTTCCTCCTGGCAGTCCAGCAAGGTGCTTGCCACAGAGCACAACACCTGGGAAAGGCTTTCGTAGAGCTGCTCCTTCTCCGTAGCAGGCAAGGAGCATCCTTTCCAGGTGCAGATGTAAACGTTGACCACTTTGGCCCACTGCTCCAGAGCTGCACCAAGAAAAGAGAAAAAGGAGCCTGGAGCAGGGAAGGGAGCGGCACCCCCCGCCAGCCTGCTGGAAGCACAGGTCATTCAGCTCAGGAGCAGATCTAGGTTCGAGGGCAAGTTGTGTGCTCGAGGTGTCTCAAGGACAACGCCACACCGTTTCTGTCCTCCACGTGACACCTTCTCCTCACAGGCTCCAGCATTTCCCAGGACTGGGGACCGCTGAGAATCCATCTAAGTAAGTTCATAGGAAACAGAGTAGGTCAAAGAAGTCCTCAAGCTCCCCAACCCAAATCACATTTTTAACCCAGGGACACTTACCTGCCAGCTTCTGAATTTGACTGACTGCCGAACAACTTCACAGGGAAGTAGCACCACCAGGGTTTCCTGTTCTGAGTAGTCACCACCGACGTTACTAGCTCATAGGGTCTCCAAAACTATTTCACAGAGATGGTAGAAAACTTGAAGAAAAAGCAGTCTACTCGGGAACACTGCGTTCATTTCACCAGGACAGTAGAAAAAGCACCCTCAGTAACCTGAACCTCAGACTCCCCTAGAGTGGCAATTCTTCCCATAACGCCTCATGCTTCCTATATAGCAAGGGTCAAATGATCCCCACCTGGCGGATTTCACTTCACATGTGTGGAGCCATGAGACCTTGTGGAATAGGCTCATCAACCTGGTTTCAGTGTTTTAGGTTCAATTGCTCCTTATCGCTAATCGAAATAACCTGACAAGGGGCTTAGTGGTTAGAGCTGACCTAATGAATTAATTACTAATGGCATGTAAGGGTCATATTTCTGCTAGTCATTCTGTGAGGAAAATTAGTACAGAGCCTGTTAAAATAAGATAAATAAACAAAAATAAAAGAAATAAATAACAAAAAAAAGAAAATGACCTAAAGGCAAAATTGCCGTCATAGATTTTCATCTGTCCACTCACAACAGATAAAGAATATAGCAATCAGAAAGACTTTTCTTGACATTAATGTTATTTAAATTTGCTTTTCTGAGATCTCTTCTTCATGCAGCACTTTTCAAAATCTATCCCCATGACTTCTGACTACAGTATTTACTTTGGCTGCATAGAAACAACACAGCCTATAAATGCCAGATCCTCACTCACTATTCAGGTCCAGGACGGGGCTTAAAGTTTGGGCTTTAATTTGGTTACACGCCTTCATTGCTGTTTTCTGGCAGGGTCATGGGAAGAAGATTGGCTGCCTTGGAGGAGCTTACGTACACATGACTTGTAGGCTGCAGCCAAAGTGTTCCTCTAGATTTCGAAGTTTGAAGATGGTTGCAGTCTCCAAGCTTAGATACAACCACGTATTAGTCTGGCACAACTGATTTTGCAGCAGTGTGCCCTGGCAGCCAGGTTGGCCAACTGTACCCTGGGGTTCATCAAGCACGGCATCGCTAGTCAGTCAAGGGAAGGGATTGTCCTGCTCTGCTCTGCACTGGTGCAGCCTCACCTTGAGCACTGTGTGCAGTTTCTGGGCACCACAGTACAAAAAGGACATTAAACTGTTGAAGGGTGTCCAGAGGAGGGCTACAAAGATGGTGAAGGGCCTGGAGGGGAAGACATATGAGGAGCGGCTGAGGTCACTGGGCCTGTTCAGCCTGGAGAAGAGGAGGCTGAGGGGAGACCTCATCGTGGCCTACAGCTTCCTCACGAGGGGGAGTGGAGGGGCAGGCTCCGATCTGTTCTCCTTAATCACCAGTGATAGGACCCATGGGAATGGTGTCAAGCTGAGGCAGGGGAGGTTCAGGCTTGATATCAGGAAGAGGTTCTTCACCGAGAGGGTGGTTGCACACTGGAACAGGCTCCCCGGGGAAGTAGTCACGGCACCAAGCCTGTCAGAGTTTAAGAAGTGTTTGGACTGTGCACTTAGTCACATGCTCTGAATTTTTGGGTAGACCTGTGTGATGCCAGGAGTTGGACTTAACTGTCTTTATGGGTCCCTTCCATCTCGGGATATTCTATGATTCTAGGATAATCCTTGCATCACCTATCTGGCCATTTCCATCCTCAGTTTCAACACCGTTTGAACGTAACCCCTGAGCTTCTAAGGCCAATCACTTCCTTATCTGCCTCTATCCAGAGTGTGTTGTAGATATTTAGTCTCAGCTGTGGAACATGTTTGGCTGATATTGTTGCTTGGGTGCATTAAACTTCTTACTGCAAACCCCGTGATATATTGCTCTCACTTCCCTCCACTCCATTCCCCATTTCTCAACCCCATCAAGACCTTTTCTTATTTTCACAACAAAACCAGCTCTGGCTGGACCCCTGAGCAGCCCTGGATGAGCTCAGAGAGAACAAAGCTCCACAAAAGTCTGTCTTCATCCCCGCTCCTCGATGTCTGTTTCAGGAGTGATCCTGTGTGCCTCCACAATGTCCTTTCCTGAATGAGTTCACTCACACCATCTTGTTGCAGGGTCCTTTTGTCCAGACCACCCCAGAAACACCCTAAGTTATGTGCGCAGCACCCACTGGGACTAGCACAAAGGTCTTTAAATGCTCTTTACCTCTAGGGAGGTGTTGCTTTTGTGTGTGTGTGTGTGTGCTTTCCTTCGAAATCAGCATCGCACTTTGAATTTTAACTCTGGTTTACTATTGCCAGACATAACCCTACAAATCTCAGCCTGAGATTCGGTTTGGACTCACCACTCCACTCTAGTCAAATCAGCTATTTTCCTAACCCAGCTCGGACCAGAGGTTTGCAGCTCCTCTTTGCATTCTGCTTTCCATGTTCTCAGGTTTTAAATCACCCCAGAGTGGCTGCAAAATACAAAATGCAAAAAAGGGCGTGAGGAACAATTTGTTAGCTATATCAGGAAGGAGAAAGGGAGAGGGTCATTCACAAGCTTCAGCAGCTCTTTATCTCTCAGGGCTGCCCTGATGCCCAGCACACAGATACATCTGTCAGGGTCCCTCACCTACCAGGAGCCCATGAAACAGCAGGGCTGTTGAAACAGCCATGAAACACAAGGACAACTTTCCCAGTCTTTCACGGACACTGTTTTGAATCCCACTGACTTGTTTGCTTCTATGAGGATTGCCATCATTGTACACCAGACAGCCTCAGACCCCTCATTCATCCTTAATGAAAGGCAGAGTTTTCCTGGAGATCAAAAACCTCTCTGCTTTTTACAAGGTTGATTCATGCAGGCTTTGATGTGAACTGCCCTTCAAAAAGCCACTCGACAGGTGAACAGAGAAGCCAGCTTGAGTTCTCAGCTAGCAATACAATAAGCCTCATCTATTTTCATACAGCCAAATCTCTTTCTGTTTGATGAGATCATGCAATTAACCTCTTCACAGCAGGCAGAGCTAAGACCGACCAGGTGTTTTCAGCATGCTTTGTGCTCACCTCTGTGGTGGCCTCTCAGGGAGGATTTAGCATCATCTACTCTATCCCTGGCAAGGGGAGACATCAGAAACTGCACTGACTAATGGTCAAAACACCTGGACTGGCTTCCTACCTCTGCTACTGATGCCCTACAAAGCTGTGGAGAGAAGCATGGCCTTTTTTCTATGGCTACACAGAGTCCGAGTATTTCCCCATTTTTTGGCCATCTTGAGAGAACAGCCTAGTGCTTCAAGCTTCAAAGTGCTTTGTGAAATGGGAACAGAGATGCAGGACAGCAGCAGCAACAAAATCCACGTCTTTTTGGGTTGTGCTGTGGGAGCTAAGCCCGACCCAACCACAGCTATCACATCTCATCAGTGCACTCAAGCCCTTCAGAAATGTTCATTGAAAGTTAGTGTAAATAATAAATTTAATGGGGAAAAAAAATGAATTTCAGAGCTGTGCTAGGCAGGGAGCACTTCCTGAGAAATCAAGGGCACCCTGGGTTTGGATGTCTTCACAGGACCAACCTGTGGAGCAGGGAATATTCTCTGTGCCCTGTCCCTGCAGCTTTGTTTCTTTCTCTGACTGTTTTTCTGCAGCACCAGAGCCAGGAAACACACCGTGTGCCTCTGGATGACACCAGACCATGTGAGCCAGGGCTTGAAGGATACTTTAGCCAGCCCTGAGGGCAGAGGGTTGTGACAACCAAGGAGCTTCAAGTGTCAGCTTGCAAGTCTGGCTGAAATGTGCAGGTCTGCAGGAGGGAGGGGAGCTGCTAAGAGTCATTGACAGTACACACACTGCATCCCACAGCACCAAGAGCTTTATTCCTCCTTCCTCTGCCTTTTCTTTTCTCTTCCCTTCCCATTGCAGAGCAAAAAACAGACAAAAGCAATTTCCCAGTGAAGCAGTGCAGGCACAGAGCAGGGCCTGGCAGACACAAGACACTTGCATTAGATAACTCCTGGGGTGTTGCAGGCGTGGAGGGGGGAAGCTGTGGAGCCCCATTTTCCATCTGTGCCAGCAGAGCAGAGGTGGGGCATCCTGCCTGCTGCAGGGAGGAGCACCCAGCTGCCCCGCTGCATTTGCAAACAGGATCACGGAGCCCTGCCAGCAATTCCCCTTCCTGCCAGGCCACAGATTGCTCGGGGCAGAGCACAGCTCTGGCAGCACCTGCATCCGACAGCCAAGGAGACCGGTGACCAGGAGACAGCAGAAATGAGGATGTGGAGAAACAGAGAGAGGTTTAGCAAACCAGAAACAATGCAGGCCTCATGGGAACAAAGAAGAGCAAGAGAAAGCAAGCCCTGAAGTTGGGCAAGCAGCAAAATGAGCAGGAAAAAAAAATGTTGAGCTTTCTGCTTTAAATATTGGGGATGTCAAAGCATGTAGGTGAATAACTGAGCTGCAAGGAGACTTGCTGGCACCAAGTCTTTGCAGAGGGGAACTGAAAGAACGAAGTAAAGCAAAGACGTGGCTTGGACCCTGGTGGGAGAAGAAATCACTTCAAGATGGACAAGTTTCGGATGATCTTCCAGTTCCTCCAGTCCAACCAGGAGTCCTTCATGAACGGCATCTGTGGGATCATGGCCCTCGCCAGCGCCCAGCTGTACTCAGCCTTCGACTTCAACTGCCCCTGCCTGCCGCGCTACAACCTGGCCTACGGGCTGGGCGTCCTCCTGGTGCCCCCCCTCATCCTGTTCCTGCTGGGCTTCGTGCTGAACAACAACGTGTCCATGCTGGCGGAGGAGTGGAGGCGGCCCCGGGGCCGGCGGGGGAAGGACGGGGCCGTGCTGCGCTACATGTTCTGCTCCATGGCACAGCGAGCCATGATCGCCCCGGCCGTCTGGGTGTCGGTGACGCTGCTGGATGGGAAGTGCATCACATGCGCCTTCTGCACCTCGCTGCCCGTGGGGGCCCTGGGCAACGCCAGCCACCCCGGGCTCTCCCAGGAGGAGATGAAGAGGGTCCTGGCCCGCATCCCCTGCAAGGAGATTTACGATGGGCAGGAGCTCGTCGCCAACGAAGTGGCTGTCAGGTACCTGCGGTGCATCTCGCAGGTAAGAGGTGTTGGGACCGTGCCCTGGCTGATGGTTTAGGGTTAGGCACAGCCAGCCTTAGCTTTTCCCTCAAGGGAGTTGAAATAAAGCTGCAGGAGGAGGGACGGGCAGTTTTGCGGGGGTATGAGTTGTTCAGACTCAGTCCATTCACACTGATAATTCGGTCCCTCCTCTTCCCTGTGTCATGCTTGTGGGTGCTCACAGCAGCCAGAGCTGTTTAGGGCAAGTTCAGGGGTTGACGTGGTCATTACTCCGTGGCTGTCACCCACACTCGTAACCCATCAGTCACCCGTGGCTGCTCTGGCTGCTTGCTATAACTTGTGGAAGCGATGGGCTGATAACCATCTATGCCGCTTGCTGCTTACTGTGAAACAGCTGGCATGTGTTTATTAACCTCACCAGGCAGCAACAAATGAAGAAGTGCCACTAACTGCTTGTCCTGTGCTTAATTCTTCTCAAGCCCTGCCTCTGGCCACAGTTGGAGACAGGATGGTCCAACCCACTCTGACCACTCATCCTGCTTAAAAGTTCCTTTCCCTGACCCCCTTAGGGAATATAGGAATAAATTATCCCCATTTTCAGAACAGAAATGGAGTCATAGGGTCTTCTCCCAGACACAGGAAGATTTCCCTGGGCAGACCCCAATTCCCAGCTGCCGGGAAGCTCTGGGAGCTGCATCACAGGGGGTGCTGCCTGGACAGACCCCAGCCAGGTGGATGTTCAGTGGGGTCACCTCATGAGCCATGAGCATAGATTGGGGCTGGCTCTGCCCTCTTCTGTCCCTCCCTGTCACATCCCACTATCAGGGCATCCCGTTACCACTGATCCCAGTGAGCACAAATGTCACAGAAGTCCAACAGCTTGGGAAAAGGGGGTGTTTATGGTCTGCCCATGATGGGTCCGGTCTCACCCCTCACCCCTGCAGGCCCTGGGCTGGTGCTTCATGCTGCTGATGACCACGCTGGCTTTCTTGGTCAGATCCCTCCGGCCCTGCTTCACCCAAGCCGCCTTCCTGAAGAGCAGGTACTGGTCCCACTACATCGACATCGAGCGCAAGCTGTTCGACGAGACCTGCACCGAGCACGCCAGAAGCTTTGCCAAGGTCTGCATCCAGCAGTTCTTCCAGGGCATGAGCACGGACATGGAGACTGCTCACTGCCACCTGCCCAAAAAAAAACCCACGGATGATGGGGAAGCTTCCGAGAAGCTCTTGGGCATCACTGACCAGGGTACCATGAACACGGCCCTGAAAAGCTGGCACAGGTGTAAGCCCCCGTTGCACCTCCACCCAGATGCCCCATCCCGTGGCAATGGCTGGGCTGGGGAAGGGCAGGCCCCCCTGCAGCCCCCCCCAGAGCCCCCAGCACCTCGGAAGGAAATGGCTGCCTACTACAGCCGGGTGTGAGCGGAGGCAGAGCCGCACTTTTGGGAGAGGGGCTGCAAGGGGATGTGCACCCAAAGGGCAGTGCTGGCACCCAGGTGGTCCCATCTGCTCCCCACATGCAGTTCTACATCCTGGGTAACAGAGGCAAGGAGCTTTGGGCTGCCCGAGGCTGTGATGGAGAAGTCCTTGGGGTGCCAGTGGGCACGACGTTGTGTGTCCCATGCCACAGGTTTGTGTGGTGGCAGTTGCTGAGGTGGATGATGCCAGATGTGTAAAACTTCCCTTCTTTTACCACGTGCACCTCCAAGCCTGTGATAGAGCTGGAGCAGGGACAGCTCCTTGCAATGCTGGGCAGCACTCTTGGATTCGGGCACTATTAAAAATTCCTCCATAGGGAATCAAGCTGGGATGGCCCTCTCACTCTGAGACATGAAACCCCAAAAGTCTCCCCATTACCATCTCTATTTTACTATCCCCTCCAGACACATACAGTTTCCACACCATGAGGAACTTTAAAATAAATTTGACACAAAAAGTGAACTAATAAAGGGGCGCCCCACACTGCATTACCCGTGATGAGAACGGTGCAGTCGGGTGTCACGGGTACAATTCAAGGAGGGGGGTGCCAAGACAAGGGGAGCAGCTATCGCTCAGCAGCACAGAGGGTAGGTGCCAGGCTGACCCCTTGCCATGGATTTTCTGCAGGATGGTCAGCCCATCCTTGTAGCTTTACCTGGATTCCCCCCGGCATACAGCCCGGATGTTTGTTTAAGGAGCCAGCAACAAATAAATAATTCAGGCTTGCCGTTCCAGCTCTGCGCTTAGGCACGAGGAGTCATAAAGGCTGTTTACAAAAGCTGTTGGGGTTTCTTTATTTGAATACAATGACAAGGACCTGAGGTGGCACACGGAGGCTGGCAGCGAGCTGGCCGTGGCCTGTGGTGGAGCTGGGGCGGCCGCGTTGGCTGTGGGGAGGCAACACCGTCCCTGTGCAACACCGTGTGGGTGCTCATTTCCCTAAAACCTGGAGATCATGGGGCACAGGCCCTCAAGGTGACTATGGAAATCTCCACGTTCCCTGATGGCCCTGATTTCATTAGCAACACGCAGGAAAATCCCTTTTGCAAATATCAATTTCACCCCTGCCGCGTCCCTTTCTAAATGCTCATCCCCTTGAAATTTTTCCTACTGCGTTCTTGTTCAAACCGACCCATTATGGCTCACCGGTTACTGAGGTGACTGTCTTGCACATAAACCTTAATTACTGGTGTGCTACTCCACAGAGGCTGTGGGGAGAGGAGAACAAAGGACAAAAATGACAATGAAATTCTCCGAGCCGCTCTGCGGGAGCAAGAACGAGCCCATAGTCAAGGGCAGGCTGAATCTGGCTGACTCCCAGGAGAAAGGAGCATGACACAGATTTATCATTAATCTTCACACCCCAAACTTTAATTAAGGCACCTGCCCAGAAATTAATAGGCACAAAACCTGATTTACAAAGCAAAGGAGATTAAAAGATAAAGGTGGTTTCCACTCCTACTATTTGCAGCTCAGCGCTGTTAATGGCTCACTCCACATCCCACCACAGCGGTGATTAGAATATGGTGCTGGCAGGCTCCACGGCAGATCCATCAAGATACCAAGGCATTCGTGTGCATGTGCAAAGAGAAGCTTTTGGAGTTTTAATCTAGATTTTGAAATTGTAGCCCTGCCCCACACAGCGACTGGCAGAGACCCTACAGAGCAGGCAGCGTGTCCTCTTTGTGTTGGCACTTCGTCCTGGCAGCTTCCCTGGATTTGGGGGATGTATTTCATCACTGTTGGGAGCAGACACCTCACTGGGGGACCCAGTACGGCCTCTGTGGTCTCAACTGGGCTGTGGTCCCAGAGTGCAGGGCCTGGTTGGCAGCAGGGCCCCAAGCAGAGATGTGGGACTGCCACAGGGTGCAGCACATCCCAACACCACCGAGCTGCAAAAAAAACCTCCTGGGGCTGGGCAAGCGTTGAGAGGTCAGGTCTGGAGCCAAACCCACGTCTGGGGTAGGGAAGAGGACTCAGGGCAAAAATTGCAGCTGGACTGCAGACATCAGGCTTGGCTCGGGTTTGCTTTAGGCAGAGGGAACATGGGTGTTGCTGAAGGTTTTCCTGGGCTAAATACGTCCTCTGGGGAGGGCTGAGCTTAACCCTGGGGACATGGTGACAAGGATGCTGGCAAAAGAGAATGGGAGAGCCTCTGGCCACCGAGACAGGCTGGAGCTGGAGGACAAACAGCAGAGAGGAGGGAGAGACACTAGGAGAAAGTGTGGCGTCCTCCACTGCCTTCCAGGCATCAGACTGCAGAGGAAGTGGAAAGCGGAAAAGCAGAGGGGGCAGGAATGCACTGTGCTTGCCATATTGTGGGCTGCACCCAGCCCCCCCATCCCGTCCCGGCTTGCCACAGACCCAAATTACGGCACTGCATGGCAGCCATCACTCCCCTCTGCTCGCCCCACGAGAGTGGATCTGTCCTGAGCAGCAGGAAACGAAACCCGATGGAGCTCGTGATGCCGGTTTCCTGCTTCTCCCGAAAACCCAGCCAGACTGGCATCTTCCCCGCTGGCTCAGCCAGCTCTCGGGCACGAAAGCAGCAGTTCCTGTCCCTTCTCCTGGGACCAAGGGCTTCTTCTCCCGTGCTGCCCCTGCCTGCTTAGCTCAAATCCCACCCTCAGTACCAGTGGGTCCATCCAGCATCCCCTGAGGAGCATGGGGGCTGCATCCAGCCTCCAGGCTGGGGGCTTCGGAGTTTCCCCTTCATGCTCCAGCAAGGCATCCATCGCTCCTGTCCTCCAGGCAGACCCGATTCCCTCCACAGCCAGCATCCGCACAGCTGTGTGGCAGATCTGGAAAAGGACGAAGTGATTTTTCCAGTGACTCATTCTCTCATTCTCGGTCTTTCCTTTTTTTTTTTTTTTTTCGTTTTAAAGGCACATCCTCAGCCTTGCACCCAGCAGAAGCCAAATGCCTGCTCATCGCCCCACCCAAGCACAGGGCCCGAGAACAACCCCCGCCCTCCTCCCAAAAGCTGACAGCCGAGGGCACGTTGCAGACTGAAAAAGGAAGCTGCCGAACTCCAACGCTGTTTTTACCCACTTTCACTTTGTCCATCAGCCTGGCCAAAGCTGGACCCCCTCTGCTGCACAACCTCCCTCGCTGCTGGGAAAACCCTGCACCCGGAGCCCACGCAAAAACCAGCCAAGTTGCTGAGAAAGCTCCAGAACCGATTTCAACAGCTTTCCAAGTAAGTGACTTCATTTTTTACTTGCTTTCATGGATGCTTCAGGGAAAGGCTAACACAGATTGCTAAACAATGATCTGCTGAAAACATCTCTTCCCTTCCAAGCCTACCCCTCCCTCTCCTAGCCAGGCAGCTTAAGCCAAAATCAAAGGAAGGTAGCCTCCATACCCCCCAGAAAAACAATTCTTTGCCAGCTCCTCTTAATTTTGCTTTGCCTGGTGCCAGACTCTGGCAGGGAGGTTGCAAGGCCTTGTTTATCAGTGGTAGTTGCTGCTCTCCCTAATAATAGGCCTTTGAACCCTATGTGCCAGTGCGGGTTTGTAGGTTTGGTGCCCTGCTGCAAAGGCTGCACACCATGAAGCATGGCAGCCCGAGCTGCAGGCCTGATGTGCTGTCATGTGGCTGTAGTTTTGGGCTGGTCTGGCTCCTTTAATGCAGGAGTTTTGCATATGGAAAGCTGGGAGGATGCAGGAAGAAATTAAGGGCCCTGGCTGCTTATGCTTGAGCTGGGTGATAGCATGGCTTTAAGGGGATTGCCATGGGTTAGGCAGAGCGGGGAAACAAGGCTAAATTTCTAGCTCAGTTTCCTTTTGCTTCCCTGTGGAGGAACCAAGCAAAACAGGCTCTGGGGGGGGGAAGTGGGGTGGTTGGGTAGAAGATGCACTAGAGCACAAGATGTAGTTAAAGCACAATGCCTGAGCAAGCATTGTAAAAGAGGCTGTGGGAAACATTTGTCTCGTCTGCACCAATGCCCCCATAGCCTTTTCTCCACAGGTGGGGCTGGCCCAGGGCCACCTTGCCCTGTGCACGCTGAGGGGGAGATGCAAGCATGAGGGTAGCTGTGTGGGGGTCAGGGCTGTCCAGGAGCTCTCTGCAAGGATGTGAACCAATGCTGGCACTGGAGGATATTAGTCAGGCACCCAGGTCCCTCCTGCATCCAGCAAGCCGCAGTGGCAGCAGTTCCCCTGAAGTCCAAGGGTTTCGTCACAGGGTGAGGGCTTTCCCAGCAAGCAAGGCAGTTGAGGCTTCCTGAGATAAAACCACACAAGGGTGCACCATAGATACGAAGTAAACCAAGAAATTAAACACAGGTTGCACAGCTTGGTTACCACAGGAGAGGAGGAAGGGGCATCACTGCACAGCTCAGATGCACTCCCCAATTATTACCCTGTCCTTCAAAAAAATCAAATAAAAATCAGGGCATGTACTTTCCCAGACTTGATCCTCACTCAGCACCAGTCCTACCCAGTATAACCAGCGTTGTACTGAGAGAAGTGCTGGAGGAAGACACACAGCACAGCACGTTGCTGGCACCGAGGTGTCAAGGGACAACTGTAGGCTGGTGGAAAGAGGCTGAGCCGGGCCTGTAGGCCAGAAGGGCACGTACAGTTATGTCAGCCAACTGTGGGAGAGAAAGATCACCCTACCACACCCAGTAGTAGCAACAACTCCTAGGTAATTGTAGGCCAAGCTCTATCTGCATGTGATGTTTGCATCTTGGATCATCATGATAAGATTTGCTTTCCCAGAAAGTAACGTCCTTGGCTGGAACCAGCAGTGCCCTCAGCACCTCCTTGCCCCATTCTTGAGTCTCACACTAGGGGAATAGAGCTGCAGTATTTTGGGGCTGCCACTATGGGCTGGACAAGGGAAATCACATGCAGGGCAGCAGGACACCATCCTAAAGCAGGGTCTCAGTCCCAAGCTGCTTCCTCCCCACTCCCCCCCCTTCTGCTGCCTCATCCTCCACACCCCATCTCCCTGCACCCAAACCTGCCAGACAAACTACCAGCACCCTGAGGCCCACCTCCTGCTGCCTCCCTGACGTACCTTAGGCTATTACTAACTACTAACTCATCACATTGTAGGGGAGGGGGGCAAATCCCACAGTGCTCACATGGGAGCACAGCATTGACATGCTGTGTGTGTGTGCCTGAGCTGAAGCGTGAGTCAGGAGCAATGCTGGGGCCACATCCCAGCCCCAGTGCTCCAGTCCAGTTTCCCCAGTAACACAGCATCCTCCTTCATTGCAGGCTTGGGAGATCGAGCGTCCAGTGGTAACTCCACTGGTAAATCACTTTTGTGGGAGGTGACTAAAGCCAGAGGAAAGACAACGAACGTGCAAACAACAGGGGAAGAAACACCTGTCCCCTTGCTAATCTTTGCTGCAGAAATATTTTTGGAGAATTTAGTGGGAAACTGAAGAGTCTGAGTTTTCCCTTCTTGCTTAGGCTGAATCCCTCTTCAACCCATTTTGAAGCATCCCTAATAATAGCAGCCAGCTCCAAGGGCTTGGGGCGCCAGCTGGAAGGAACAGCAGTGAAGGTGGTGTGCTCCCAGAACAGCCCCTTGCATGTCAGCAGGCCCAAGGCCACTTCACCCCACATTGTCGTGCCCCTTGGTGCTGGGACAAGAGCCAGCACGACCCCCTGCTGCTCCAGCCACCTCTCAGGCCCCAGCCCTAGGACGAGATGGCCGCCCTTGTCGCTGAAAACTTCCGCTTCCTCTCCTTGTTCTTCAAGAGCAAAGATGTGATGATCTTCAATGGCCTGGTGGCCCTGGGCACAGTAGGTAGCGAGGAGCTCTTCTCCGTCGTTGCCTTCAACTGTCCTTGCTCCCCAGCCCGTAACTACATCTACGGGCTGGCTGCCATCGGTGTCCCAGCTCTGGCCCTCTTCCTCATCGGTGTCATCTGGAACAACCACACCTGGAACCTAGTGGCTGAGTGCCACAAGCGTGGCACCAAGAATTTCTCCACTGCTGCCACTTTCCTCCTCTTTGGCTCCATCATGGGCCGGGCGGCCGTGGCACCCGTCACCTGGTCGGTCATCTCACTGCTGCGGGGGGAGGCTTACATCTGTGCCCTCAGCGAGTTTGTCAAGCCATCCTCCCTGGACAAGTTTCCGGCTGAGTACGGAGCTGAGATGCTGGCAAGGTTCCCCTGTAAAGACATACCATCAAACCTCACCAAGTTCAGGGACGAGGTGACACGGAGGCTGAGATACGAGTCCCAGGTAGGCATGCTGGGGAGAGAGCTGCATGGAGGGGGTAAGACTGCCTTGATACATCCTAACACAGCTTCTCTATTCTCAGCTCTTTGGCTGGCTGCTCATCGGGATCGTCGCAGTCCTGGTTTTCCTCACCAAGTGCCTGAAGCACTGCTGTTCGCCACTGAGCTACCGGCAGGAGGCCTACTGGTCCCAGTACCGCGCCAACGAGGACAAGCTCTTTCGTCGCACAGCTGAGGTCCACTCCAGGATCCTGGCAGCCAACAACGTGAAGCATTTCTTTGGTTTTGTGGCGTTGGACAAGGAGGAGAAGGAGTTGGTGCAGGAGTTCCCAGTGGAAGGTGTCCAGCCAAGCCCCCAGTGGAATGCCATCACAGGTGTCTACATCTACCGGGAGAACAAGGGCTTCCCCCTCTACAGCCGGCTCCACAAATGGGCCAAAGGGGTGGAAGGGAACGGGCCAACACCAGAGGGCCATGAAATGCTCTTTTTGGCTTCTTAACACAGACAGGCGCTGGGAGCAGTTCCCCAGACTGCCTGAGAGGCCTATCAGTATCGGTGTGCAGCTGATGGATTCACTGGGAATATTGCTCCCAGCAGGATTATTTTTCTCAGAAGGTAAAAAGGGATCAACAGCCTCAAGGTAGAGGCCGATAAGCAATACAGTGAACTCAGGAACCTCTCCTCTGGAGAAAAACATCTTGCCAATGATCCCAGAGATACAAGGTGAGCAAACAGCAGATGCACACCTTACCTCCAGGCTGGTGGTGAGCCCTGCTGCCTAATCACCAGCAGAGACCTCAGGGAGCAAGAGGTGGGACCATTTCTAACAGCGACTACTGCAGTCCCACCCATCTTACCCCCAACCCCAGCAGGGCTAGCCCTCACCTTCCCACACACCCACCTTCTTACGCCATTCTGCAGTGCCTGTTATACAGAAAGGTCATGGAGTGCTTTACAGACTTCCCAGAGCAGGACAAGAGGGAAGCAGTGGGTAAATACCTGTGGCAGCAGGGATGCAGTAACAGCTGGGAAGGAGTGGGTCAGTAATACAGCAGCACACCAAATAATCAAGAGACTAAGGCAGGAGGAATCACCAATGTTCCTGGTATTCAGAAAGACACTGTAATTACAAAGCTGAAATTTGGGTAGGACACCAAACTCTTTGTCCTTACTGAAGTGCCTAGCCATCTCTAATGAGCCCAAAGGGTCGCAGCCATGAGTTTATAACTCTGAAGATGGCACCATCAGCAGAATAGCTTTCAGGTAAGCTGGCTGGGTAGAAGAGCAGTACTCGCAGTGAATCACAGCACTGTCTGCAGCTCATCGCATTGCTCATCCATCACTGGATGAGAGTCCTGCTTGTTTGTGTTGATGAGTTGCAGCAAGACCCCAGCCAGAATTAGTTATATACATATAATTATATATACACACATACACGCACACTGAGTAATTATACTTAGCTGTACTAATGGAGCATCTTTCTTCCAAGGTAAAGGGGCAAGAAGCTTGCCTGCCAAAATACATTACATAAACTCACCTGCTGCATTGACACCGCAGCCCTACGGTGACAGTGGGAATGGGATAGGGGGGCACAGCCTTCTCCCTACTCTTCCACCACTGAACTTCCTTAAAAACTCCTTTCACTACTTTAAATGGTCCCTGCAGCAGACTCTCTTTTAGGGATTTAACTGTACTGAGAGAGAGGTACCAAAGAGGTATAATATTACTGCCATTGCTGTGATGTTGTGCTGACTTTGGCCTAAAGGCTATTCTTACGGTACTGCCTTATACCTTTTCACCCCGTATACCTAATGGTTAAGAATTGGCAGGAGTTTGGTTTTTCTACTTGGACTGTTCCATCATAGATACAACTTCCACTTACATTGCGCCTTTTAATGAAAAGCCTTGAACTGTTCAAAAACACAACTCAAACCCACTGAACTCAGAGGGGCTTAAGCACAAAGAGATTTGAAATAAACTATTAAGTTAGTTCTTTTTCATTGCCTTCTGATTTTTTTTTTCCCTCAGAGGGGAACAAAAGGCATATTTTAATATTCTCTTTGAACCTAAAAACTGGGTATTTTTCCAGTTAAACATTCACATCTCTTCTAGTTTCTAGATAGAAACACCGCTTTTTAGTTTTTCCTGGATTAAGTAGTACAGATTTTGTACGTCAGAACACACGACTGCAGCAAGGAAAACATATTTAGAAATCTCTTTGCAAATATGTCCCCTTGCAAGGAATAGCTGGGAGGTATTCCCTCACTGAAAGGGAGGGCTATGCCTCTTAATGGATGATTCATCCCAGGACCCCTGCTCAGCTTCTCCACATGTTTGCCTTGCGTTTGTGGGAAGACCCAGCTCCCAACTGCACCATCAACTAATCTGCAGGAACGATCATATGCAAGTTAAACAAAACTGCATTAATGTGAGATGAAAGAGTTAATTTGCATTTCTCCTCATTGGCCCTCAGGTACAAACATGCATACACGCATGCCACCCCCACACACAGGTCAGGAGATGCAAGGTAACTTGCTGAAACAGTCGCATGTGTCTATTCCTCTTCATTTACTTCTCCCACCTCTCCTTTGTGATAGTCCTAGTTTTTCCTTTGAACCACCTCCACTGCCACTTCCTCCTCCTCCCCTTCCCTCCTTTGAAGGAGGGGGACAAGACATATAATGCTTGTGAAATAATTTGTTTATCCTAAGAACACAGCATAAGCACAGCACAGCCTTCGCTCTGCTTGCTTTTCTCTCCTCACCATTAACTCCAGCTGTTTTCCATGTGTTGGGATGGGCCAGAGCCTTGTCCATTTTCCCTCCCTCTTCTTGGAGAGGTTTATTTACTGGGATGCTGACAGTGAGGAGTAGAACAAGCCCCTGCAGTCAGAAATACTTGTTTGCAATTGGTAAGGATTTTTTCCTCCCTTCTTCTGCAACCCTGAGCAGTTTCTGATAACACAGTCCTGGGCTTCTGGCCCACCAGTACCCTCATGAATATTCCTCCCTGCCAAGGCAGTCACTCGTTCTCCTCCAGTGACAACGCTGAGGTGACGTCAGCACAAGGAAGAAAGTATTGAAGGAGGAAAGGAGTCAGGGCAAGAGCTACCAATTTGTGGGAAAGGCTGGGAGCGAAGGAAGGGGTGGGGAGCAGAGCCTTGATTAGCTTCCACGAAAAATATTCCAAGTAGGATATTAAACCTGCACAGCTTTTTACCCCAGTGCAAGCAACCAGAACACCAAGATGGAAGTCGAGCTGCCTGTTTTCCTGGCATGCCATATCACACAACCTGTGAGCTCACACACTGCTTTTCTTGCACAGGCTGACAGCAATGCCTACAGGTTGTCAGCTAGGGCATACTTCCCAGCAGCAAGCTGTGCTTAAACTGGGCTCCTCTAGCGCACAGAATTACACACAGGTCTTTCATTTACCCTGCTGACAACTGTAGAGACAATAATAGCCCCAGTAATCATAAAGTAATAATACCTCAAAGGGATCTTGGTTTCTATTGCAACGCTTATTTACGTGTTCTATTATGTAACTAATCCAACCACACAAAAAAATAAATAAATACCAGCACTGCAGCTGTGCTGTTAATTTAAGAAAAGCAGCAGCTGCTAACTAGATGTTGCAAGAAAGCAGCCTCCTCCCCCAGAAGGGCACTGAGCATGAGAATATGTACAGTACCCTGCTCTCCCTGGAGGTAAGCAGTAAAATAACTTGTTTCTAGATCCCAGTGGATTTGGGAATGAATTAGATGCATAATCATTCAGCCTTGCCAACAATGGGCATTCAGAGATGTAGAAGGGTTTGATCCTGGATAAGTCTGGTTTCGAGTTCAGAGTACCTACAATGAGTAAGTTTAGCCTTTTGAATTTGGGCACCCACTTGCTAGCATTTGCATTGGATAATCACCTGCTTGCATCCCCTGCTTTTCCCCTCACCTTCAGTTCTCCATCTATAAAATATGTGGATGATCACATACCCATCTTACCAGAGAGATACAAGAACAAGGATAAAGGCACCAACACTATTGGTTATAAAACAGTCTCTACTTAAAAAACTGTCTTCAAAGTCATCAAGAGACACAGATTTGTAACATCCAGACAAAGCTGCAAACATTCATCAGATCTTTTCCTTAGATCGTTTGATCTTTCAGTTTGGTTTGGTCATAGATCAATACTGTCCAGAAATCCACTGTCCATGGACATCCACAGCGGAACTCCACACCCCTCAGTTCCCACTTCGCATGGAGAGCTGAGCCTCTCTGCTTTTACTTGTACTGTATTTAGGCGTCAGCAAGGGAACTCTTTGCCTCTACATATTCTAGTGCAGCTGTTTTAACAGCCAAGATAGTTTCTTCTGTGCCGTATTTCTTCTCATAATCCAGGTAGCGTTTAAAGAAGAATTTCATCTTCTTTGGTGCCAGGTTCAGGTGTATGACCTTCTCAAAGATGTCCCTGCAAAAAATCGAAGTGATTCAGGTCACTGTGTTGGTGACAGCACTCAACACAAGCCCTGCACCTGCATTTGAACAAAGTACAGACATTCAGGGGAGACATTCAATCAGTTGCTTGAAAGACTCATGAGAACTGGTGAAAACCTTAAGGTAGAAGCCTTCTGTTTGCTTGCAGAACTCTAACATTGCCGGTCAGCTTAAGCTATGGTCTTGTCATTGTATTTGACCCTACATTCATATAGTGGCCACAGCTGGATCTATAGTGTGGGAAATTGAACTTCCTTCTGTCAACTCTTGTCAAAGAGTGACCATTCTCCTCAGTTTTATGTTATAAAACATGGAAGGGATGAACCTCAGTGCAAGTCCTCCAGTTTTTGTCATGCACCCCTTACAAATCAACTATTGTCTGCCTTGTAGATCTTGCAGTCACCCCAGTCCTGGGGAAGGCAACCCTTTCCACACGCCCCAGTTTTCTTTCTCTAGGTGATACAAATCCACCTTTGCTCTGGGAGGCCCTCGACATCATCATGCTGCAAAGCACCTCTGCTCTTTTCAAATATTGCTCTAAACACCACACTCTGCCCGTCCCCAGCCTGCTGTAGCACAACTCACCGCACTTCCTTCTGGCTGCCATGTTTGATCATGATGTCCATGTAGATAGACCAGATGTCTGTCCGCTTGGGGTAGCTGTTGAGGGTGCTATCGAAGAGGGCTTTGGCATGTTCTGTGTCCCCAAAACGGAACTCCAGTTGTGCAAACCTTGAAATAACATCCACATCTGGAAAAAGCAATGACATGTTAGAGGATCACTGCAGCCCTCTTCCCTATGAAGAGACACAAATGAGTTACAAATATGCAGAACAGGCAAGCACAGAGACAGCACCAATCTCTACCCAGAGATAAATGACTTGTTGTAAAGCAGTTCTGGTCCAAGGTGGAAGATTACAGTGGAGGAAGGGTCACAGTTCACTTCCCATTTCAGCTCTCCGTGGATGACAGAAGTTTATATGTATATTCAAAATTAATCTTGATGTCTGCAAGACTCAGAAGTTCTCTTGGCTTTGGTTGCTTTATATATAATGTATAGCCTTGATATCCAGGTTGACATTTCCCCTCCCCTTACAGTGAAGAGCACCATGTTGAGCACCCACTGGCTGCAGTTTTCACTTACTACACTATCACAGAGATATTGCAAAGCAGTATTGGAAATATTGCTCAGCAATATTGCAAAAATGGTGCAGATCCATCAATGCATAGTCTGAATTATGGATATGGAAGGAGTGCTTACGTTCTTTAGTGGGCAGAGCCTTGAGAGCACGCTCCAAAAGCCTGTGTGTAGCCTCAGTCTGGCCTTGCTTCAGGAGGAAAGAGGCGTATTTCAGCCACACTGATTTCTCCTGACGGAAACGCCTTAGCATTGTGTGGTACAATTCTTCTGCTTGCTGGAAGGACAAAGTTGGATTAGATCACACAGGTTCATAATAAAGCCCTGCAGCTCTAAAACTCCTGCTCCCAACCCAGGCATCTCCAAACATCTGTGAGAGGCAAGTATCAGTAGTTCCTTTTCTGCCATCAACCATAACTGTTAATCCAAGTTATGAACAGGACAGGCCTAATGCCTGGCAGCTGGAAGCTTACACAGCCAGGACTGGTAGCTTAATGGTGTGACTGAATGGGATATTTGCACTATCTTACCTTGTACTTCTCAGAATTGGCATAGATGTCACACAAATGCTGGAAGACTTTCAGAGGCTCATTGTATTGAACAGCTCTCTCAAAGACCTTCATCAGTGTCTCCTCAGTACCATACATGTTCTCCAAGTTCAGCAGAGCAACCCAGACGTTCAGCTTCTCTTGTTCTTCCCTTGAAGCAGACAAACAAGAACATTTAGGCTTTTACCAGCCTTCATCAGCTTTTTGCAAACCACCTAAAGACTCGCTGACTTGTAGCCTGTTACTGAGACAAGGGAGGGGAGCATACCCCTTCACTGAAACAGCACTCCTGGAACAGAGCACAGCAGTTGACACTAGAACTTTTGATCACTGTTGTTTGTAATTAAAAACCACAAAGGTGATTCAGGAAAGCACAATATACTTAATCATGCTGCGGAGATGCTTTAATACCCAAGGGTGTAGCCCTATGAAAAGGGCAACGAGAGCTTCACAGTTTATTTCGTGTTTTCATTTAAGGACATTACTGACAGTGCTTGGCTCTTCCCAACCCTTCCAACTGCTCAGAGGTGAGCCCATGTGCTCAGTGATACCCTGGGGAGTTACTGTGACCACAAGCTGCAGCAAGCCAGCTGCAGGCCAAGTGTGGTGACTCAAGCCAGACCTTCAAAGGGGCAGCTCACAATTGCCACCATTTAATTATTTTGAGCTCACTTAAACAGACTTTTCCACTTCACATGCACACGCACCAACGGTGCTACCAAGATTCTTCTCCCATCACCATGAACCCACCATTACCCTGTGGGGCAAAGAAAGGCAGAACCCCATTCTTACCTGAAGCAAATTGTTTTAAGCGCTCTCTCTGCC